CAGATGTTCACAAAAATTGTAAATGGAAGATTATAAGAGAGGGTTTCGCATGCCAGCAAAAGTTACTGGCGTGCCATGTTTGACACGCGTGCCAGGGGTTGCCCACCCCTGCTCTAGTCAATCACTAGACTCTAGTCACTTTGTGCCAATCATAGATATTTTTCATTAAGCAGTAAACTGGGAGGAATCTAAGAGCCCCTGAGAGTTAGGAGTATGTAATGTCTGTGAGTCCTGGGATTTTATTAGATTTCCAGCCTTTCATTTGGGAGGCTATACAACCATTTCTTTAGATGTGATGGATTCTCCAGTGAGTTCAAGAGTGACAAGCCAATCTAAGTCTCCTTTATTTTGGAACCATTCCTGTCACTGTTGAGTATATGCTATATTTATTAAATGCATTTATCAAATAGTTATTGAGAAAATATTTGTGTAATATCAGAATGGAAATGCTGTAAGAATATTACTATCTGTCTGTTTTGTTTACTTTTATATCCCCAGTGCCTACAAAAGAACCTGGCACATAGTATACCTCCAATAAACATGTTTTATTGCCCTCAAGGCCTTAACTTCCAATGTAAAGAGACAGGCAGTAAACAAAATTGGTTGTGGAGAAAATATAGCAGGGCAAGAGGGAGAGAAAGTGATGGGGTGTGTTATAATGTGGTCAGGGACGGTTCCTCTAATAAAGGAACAATTGAGAAGAAATCTGAATAAAATAAAGGTATGAGCCAGGCAAACATTTGAGGATGGGCAGAGGAGTAGAGAATAAACAATACAGATGTTCTGAAGCAGAAGAATGCTTGGCATTTTCTAGAAAGATCAGGTGTGGCTGGGAGCAGAATGAGCAATAGGAAGAGGGAAGTAGATGAAATCAGAGAGCAAAGTTCAATCTAAAACCTTGTAGGCCAAGGTAACGACTCCAACTTTTACACTGCCTGAGAGGGAACCATTGGAAGATTTTGAGCAGAGGAATGACAGGATTTGACTTATGTTTTAACAGAATCCCTCTGGCTGCCATATTGAAAATAGGTCCAGGAAAAAGGACAGAAGCAAGAAGACCTGTTAAGGGAGGATAACAATAATTTAGGCAAGAGATGATGGTGTTTTAGACCAGAATGGAGTCCATATGGGTGGTAAGTGGTCAGATTCTGGAGAGATTTTGGAGGAATAGCTGACAGGATTTTGGAGTTGATTAGATAAGGTGCATGAGAGACAGAATAGCCAAGGAGAACCCCAAAGTTTTGGACATAGGGAATTACCATTTCTGAGATGGGAACAACAGGGGAAGAACAGGGTAAAGGTATGTAGAGAAGGAATCAAGAGTTCAGTTAGGCATGCTAAATTTGAGGGGCCTGATAGACAACCAGGCAGCCAGAGACTGGCTGGCATTGCTCAGTGGCCCGCCCACTGAAGGGTTTCAGATTCAATTCCCGGTCAAGGGCACATACCTGGATTGCAGATTCGATCCCCAGCCTGGTTGGGTCAAGTGCAGGAAGGAGGCAATTAATCAATGTGTCGCTCTCACATCGATGTCGTTGTCTCTCTCTCTCTCTCTCTCTCTCTCTCTCTCTCTCTCTCCCCCTCTCCCCCCCCCCCCCCCCCCCCCCCCCCCCCCC